TTGAATCTGTAGATTGCTTTTGGCAAGATTGTCATTTTTACTATGTTGATCCTGCCTATCAAAGAGCATGGGAGATCTTTCCATTTTCTGGTATCTTCTTCTATTTATTTCTTTAGAGACTCAAAATTCTTATGATACAGGTCTTTCACTTTTTTGGTTAGCATTACCCCAAGGTATTTTATGTTATTTGTGGCAATTGTAAAAGATGATGTTTTTGATTTCTTTGTCCACCAATGTGTCATCCATATATATTAGGGGTACAGATTTTTTTTTAATTTTTTTTGTTTTTGTTTTTTGAGACAGGGTTTCTCTGTGTAGCTTTGGAGCCTATCCTGGCACTCGCTCTGGAGACCAGGCTGGCCTCGAACTTACAGAGATCCGCCTGGGGCTACAGATTTTTTTTGAGTTAATCTTGTATCCTGCCACATTGCTGAAGGTGTTTATCAGCTGTAGGAGTTCCCTGGTAGATTTTTTCAGGTCACTTATGTAGACTATCATATCATCTGCAAATAGTGAAAGTTTGACTTCTTCCTTTCTGATCTGTATTCCCTTGATCTCCTTTTGTTGTCTTATTGCTCTAGCTAGAGCTTCAAGGACAATATTGAAGAGGTATGGAGAGAGTGGACAGCCATGTCTTGCTCCTGATTTTAGAGGAATTGCATTAAACTTCTCTCCATTTAATTTGATGTTGGCTGTCGGCTTGCTGTATATTGCTTTTATTGTGTTGAGGTATGTTCCTGTTATCTCTGATTTCTCCAAGACCTTTATCATGAAGGGGTGTTGGATTTTGTCAAAGGCTTTTGTCGGCAGCTAGTGAGATGATCATGTGGTTTTCTTTCTCAGTCTGTTTATATGGTTGATTACATTGATTGATTTTTGTACGTTGAACCATCCTTGCATCCCTGTGATGAAGCCTTATTGATCGTGATGGATGATTTCTCTGATGTGTTCTTGGATTTGATTTGCCAGTATTTTATTGAGAATTTTTGCATCATTGTTCATGAGGGATATTGGTCTGTAGTTCTCTTTCTTAGTTGTGTCTTTGTGTGGTTTAGGTATCAAGATTATTGGAGCCTCATAAAAAAGAGTTTGGTAATGACCCTTCTGCTTCTATTGTGTGGAATACTTTGAGGAGAATTGGTATTAGCTGTACTTTGAATTTCTGGTAGAATTGTTCACTGAAGCCATCTGGCCCTGAGCTTTTTTTTTTTTTGCTTGGGAGACTTCTGATGACTGCTTCAATTTGATTAGGGGTTTTAGGTCTATTTAAGTTGCTTATCTGTTCTTGATTTAATTTTGGTAAGTGAAATCTGTCCAGAATATTGTCCATTTCCTTTAGATTTTCAAATTTTGAGAAATATAGGTTTTCGAAATATGACCTGACGATTCTCTGGATTTCCTCTGAGTCTGTTGTTATGTCCTCCTTTTCATTCCTGATTTTATTAATTTGCATGTTCACTCTTTGTTGTTTGGTAAGTTTAGATAAAGGTTTGTGTATCTTGTTCATTTTCTTGAAGAACCAACTCTTTCTTATATTGATTCTTTGTATTGTTCTCCTAGTTTCCATTTTATTGATATCAGCCCTCAATTTGATTATTTCCTGGTGTCTGTTCCTCCGGGATGTATTGGCTTCTTTGTTTTCTAAAGCTTTCAGTTGTGCTGCTAATTCTCTAGTGTGATTATTCTCCTGTTTCTTCATGTGTGCATGCAGCTCTATGAACTTACCTCTTAGCACTGCTTTCAGTGTATCCCATAGGTTTGGATACGTTGTGTTCGCATTCTCATTGAATTTTAGGAAATCTTTAATTTCTTTTTTTATTTCTTCCTGGACCCATGAATTGTGCAATAGGATGTTACTTAATTTCCATGAGTTTGTAGGTTTTCTGTAGTTCGTGTTGTTGTTGAATTCTAATTTTAAAGCATGGTGGTCTGATAAGACACAGGGGGTTATTTCAATTTTTTTGTACCTGTTGAGGTTTGCTATGTTGCCAAGTATGTGGTTGATTTTAGAGAAGGTTCCATGTGGCACTGAGAAGAAGGTAAATTGTTTTGTATTTGGATGGAATGCTCTATAGATATCTGTTAAGTCCAATTGCGCCATAACTTCTATTAGTTCTTTTGTTTCTTTGTTAAGTTTCTGTCTGGTGCTCCAGTCCAGTGGTGAGAGTGGGGTGTTGAAGTCTCCCACTATAAGTGTGCGCGGTTTTATGTGTGATTTGATTTTAGTAATGTTTCTTTTATAAACGTTGATGCCTTTGTATTTGGGGTATAAATGTTCAGAATTGAGACTTCATCCTGATGGTTTCTCCTGTGATGAGTAGGAAGTGACCTTTTACATTTTACATCTCTTTTGATTGATTTTAGTTTAAAGTCCAATTTGTTGGATATTGGACTACCCCCCCCCCCCGCTTGTTTCTTGGGTCCATTTGATTGGAAAATCTTTCCCCAACCTTTGATTCTTAGGTACCATCTTTCTTTGAAGCTGAGGTGTGTTTCTTGTATGCAGCAGAAGGAAGGATTCTGTCTTCTTATCCATTCTTCTAATCTGTGTCTTCTTATAGGGGAATTACGAGCATTAATGTTGATGGCTATTAATGACCATTGATTGTTCATTCTTGTTTGTTTTTGATTTGGTGATGGTGGTGAGATTATTTGTGGGATTCTATCCCTTTTTCTTTTTGGCTGTTGGTAAAGTGGGGTTATCTATTGCCTATATTTTTCTGATTGTTGTTAATTTCCTTGGGTTGTAGTTTTCCTTCCAGAACTTTCTGTAGGGCTGGATTGGTGGATATGTATTGTTTGAATCTGGTTTTGTCATGGAATATCTTGTTTTCTCCATCTGTATTGATTGAAAGCTTTGCTGGGTATAGTAGTCTGGGCTGGCATCCATAGTCTCTTAGTGTAGATAGACTATGTATCCAGGACCTTCTGGCTTTCAAAGTTTCCATGGAAAAGTCAGGTGTGATTCTGATAGGTTTGCCTTTATAGGTTACTTGATATTTTTTCCTTTGCTGCTCTTAATATTTTCTCTTTGTTCTGTATGTTTGGTGTTCTGATTATTATGTGGCGAGGAGACTTTTTTTTGGTTCAGTCTATTTGGTGTTCTGTAGGTTTCTTGTATTTTCATTGGCATGTCTTTCTTAAGGTTGGGAAAGTTTTCTTCTATGTTTTTGTTGAATATGTTTTCTGCGCCTTTGAGTTGGATTTCTTCATCTTCTTCTATGCTTATTATTCTTAGATTTGGTCTTTTCATGGTATCCCATATTTCCTGGATATTTTGTTAGGGATTTGTTGGACTTAAGATTTTCTTTGGTTGATGAATCTCTTCAACTCCTGAGATTCTTTCTTCCATCTCTTGTATTCTGTTGGTTATGCTTACATCTGTAGTTCCTGATCATTTATCCAGGTTTTCTATTTCCAGTATTCTCTCAGATTGTGCTTTCTTTATTGCCTGTATTTCAGTTTTTAGGTCTTGAACTGTTTCCTTGAGAGATTTGTTGATATCTTGTATTTTTTGGTTTGTTTTTTCTTCCATTTCTTTAAGGGATTTTCTCATGTCCTCTTTGAGGTCCTCTATCATTTTCATGAAGATGTTTTTAAGGTCATTCTCTTCTAGTTCATCAGCATTGTGGTGTTCAGGTCTTGCTGGTGTATGGTTCCTAGTCTCTGGTGGTGTCATATTGAGTTTTCTGTTGTTGAATGTGCTTTTACCTTGCCCTCTTCTCATCCTTTCTTCTGGTGGGTGTAGCAGGAGTTTCTTGCTCTCCTGGTGGGTATGGGATCAAGGCTCTCTTCTGGTAGATGCTAACAGATACAATACTCTGATGTCTGTCCTCTACTCTTGGATGGAGGTGTCACTCTTACCGGGGTCTCGGCAGTGCTCTGGTGTGTTGGGTCCCACTGGGCTGGTGGATGGAGACAGAATTGCCACCGGGGCCGCGTGTGGAATCCCGACGCTGAACTTGGATCCGATGCACAGATTGCTGTTGTCAGATGACTCTGAGCAGTGATGACGATCGGAACCGGAAACCCCGAAGCTATTTTAAATGTCTCTCCTAGGCTATGCATTCTGCACCCCTTCCTGTCAGTGTCCGCAACACAGACTTGACCCCCTCCTTTCCTTCAGAATGCCACTGTACATAGGAATCAGGTACAGGCTAGCTGTCTTGCCACTGAGCACCCCACCTCAGGACTTAGAGCTCATTCAGCTGGCCCCAAACGCAGGCCATTATCATCTCCTAAAAATCCACTCCCTTCTCCCCTCCCTCCCTGTTCCCTAAAGGTCAAAGTGGATAGCTCTCCTTGCCTCCTCCTGTTCTGGGAACTTCTTCACTGAACCCACCTAGGACCTGTATTAACAGGAGAGCTTAATCAGCCCAACAGCAGGGATTTCTCTTTGTATTTCTTGGCATCCCTCACACTGCCAAAGAGCCTGGCTGAGAGCCTCTTTGGGATCCAGCAACTGCACTGGTAAGATTATTTGGGCGTGGGAGAATCCAAGGAGAAGTCTTCCAGGTAAAACTCTTGACACTTAACATGATATGTGACCTTGTCCAAGTCATGTAACTTTTTAGTCCATTAATGACTTCTCTTAACATGAGGTGTTAAATGTAAAAAGTTCTATAGCCCTGTCCACACAGATTTATAAAGAACCTTTGTTATTGATCATACAAGTCATGTTGGAAAGTTTAGAAAATTGTGGTTGGGAGGGAGGGTGGCCTTTTCAGGGATAGATAGAAACCCGATGCAAGGAAAACACCCATAAACCTACAAGGGTGACCCAGCTAAAACTCCTAGCAATAGTGAATACGTAGGCTGAACTGTGATCAGATTGGTGACTACCCCAATTGTCATCAGAGAGCCTTCATCCAGTAACTGATGGAAATAGATGCAAAAACCCACAGCTAAACATTAGGAGGAGTTCGGGGAATTCTGCTGAAGAGAAGGAAGAAGGATTGTAGGAGCCAGAGGAGTCAAGGACATCACAAAAAAACCCACAGAAACAACAAATCTGGCTCGTAGAGACTCACCAAGTCTGAACCAACAACCAGGGAGCCTGCATGGAGCCAACTTAAGCCCTTTAAATATATGACAGTTGTGTAGCTTGGTCTACTTGTGGGACTCCTAATATAGGATGCCAGAGATGTCCCTAATGCTTTGGCTGGCTTTTAGGAACCTATTCCTCATACTAGATTGCTTTGCCCAGTCTAAATACAAGGGAGGTGCTTAGTCTTATGGCCACTTGATATGCCATGCTCTGCTGATACCCATGGGAAGCCTGCCCATTTCTGAATAAAAACAGAGGAAGAGTGGATGAGGGCAAGGGGAGGGAATTGGAGGAGAGGAGGGAGGGGAACCTATGTTTGGGATGTAAAAAAAAAAAACAAATTAAAAAAAAGAATCTTGAGGTTTAGAAACAGAAAAAAAAGCAACAATAATAATTAACACAAAAAGGCATTCTGGGATTGTATTGTCATGGACTCAAGACTTATCATTTCTACCTTGCTTTATTTCTTGTATTTTTAAGTTTTTAGAAAGCATTTGATGGAAAGTACAAAACCAAGTGCAGAAATATGTAGAGGTTCATCAGCATGAAGTCAACTGAACTCACCTCCATGTTCTCCGGAAGGTAAAACGGAACAGAGCAGGTGCATTCTTTGTCAAAATTAGAGCTATCTTCCCGTAGCTGAGCACAATTTGCACATATGTTTGTGTAATTAATCTGTCAGGCAGAAAACACAATAATTCATTTAAATGCCTTAGCCTATCCAAAGTGTTCAATGTTTTCGAGATGGAGCCTATAACATGGCTAGAGAACAGCCTGCTTTGTGGGTGTTTTATTCTGGGGTGCTTAGGAGGAGGCCTTTGGTCACTGGAATGCATTTTGTCACTGGTTTGGAACTCCATGTCTGTGTCTGACACTTATGTGATCAGTTGGAATGAAGCTGCTTTCCTTCTCAGTCATGAGGAGGGGTTGCTAGGAAGGTATTAGCCAATGCTTCATGAAAACTGTGCTTACAGCCTCAGTCTAATCACCTTTACAGGGAACTCACCCTCTAGTTTCCATTTTATTGTATGCAACTATAATTATTTCACATGTCATCTGGAGGAAGTTACTAAAAGTGACCAAGCAGGAAAACGATATTTCTCAGTAAGTTGGTGTACGTAGAATAATGCTCAGCTTGAGAAGGTATTGTGTTCTGCTTTATGAAAGTTAAATTCTGTGGATGAATTACATAATAAATTCTTTTTTAAAGAAAAGAGTCAAGCCAGGCGTTGGTGGCGCATGCCTTTAATCCGAACACTTGAGAGGCAGAGGCAGGCAGATCTCTGTGAGTTCGAGGAGACCAGCCTGGTCTACAAAGCAAGTGCCAGGATAGTCTCCAAAGCTGTATCAAAGAAAAAAAAAAAAAAAAAAAAAAAAAAAAAAAGCTCCTCCACCGGCCTGACCCCTAATGAGGTGAGTGTACCCTCTGCTCCTGTCCTATTCCTACAGAACTTCCCATTCACCCCAGATCTCTCTGGGCCTGCACCTGCTTAGAGTGGACCCACCCAGGCAGGGAGGCGAGCTCCCAGAGTCTGGAAACACATCACTCTTCTCTCCCTTTCCGCTGCCTGCCCGACCCTTACCTAGTGAAGAGACTACCAGGAGAGGCAAGACCATCCAGAGCTGCAGACATTGAAGTCTTGGCCTACACACACCACTGGGTGACAAGAGGAGATAAAGAGACCCCACCTGCACCCACTGGAAGAAGAGATGGGAAGAAGACTGAATAAGAACTCACTCAACAACAGAAAGACCGGAAGATGATATAGACCTTTAAAGAGGAAACAAGAAAATCCCTTAAAGAAATAGAAGGAAAAAAGAGCAAAAATTTACATGAAATGGAGGAAAAGACAAACCAAAAAATTCAAGAAATAAACAAATCTCTTAAAGAATCTAAAGAAAGCCAAGAAAAAATAACCAAACAAGTGAAGGAAGCACTCAAAACAGTTCAAGGCATGAAAGCTGAAATAGAAACAATAAAGAAAACACAGAATGAGGCAATGCTGAAAATAGAAAGGCTGGATAAACGATCAGGAACTAAAGATGTGAGTATAACCAATAGAATTCAAGAGATGGAAGAGAGAATCTCAGTAGTTGAAGACTCACTAGAGGATATACAGTCATGGACCAAAGAAAATCTCAAGTCCAACAAATCGCTAACACAAAATATACAGGAAATATGGGACACCTTGAAAAGGCAGAACCTATAATAGGTATAGAAGAAGGTGAAGAAATACAGCTCAAAGGTACAGAAAACATATTCAACAAAATCATAGAAGAAAACTTCCCTAACCAACAGAAGGATATGTCTATGAAAGTACAAGAAGCTTATAGAACACCAAACAGACTGGACCACAAAAAGAAGTCCCCTCGACACATAATATTCAAGACACCACACCTACAGAATAAAGAGAAAATATTAAGAGCAGCAAAGGAAAAAGGCCAAGTAACATATAAAGGCAGACCTATCATAATCACACCCGACTTCTCAATGGAAACTTTGAAAGCCAGAAGGTCTTGGATAGATATCCTACAAACACTAAGGGAGCATGGATGCCAACTCAGACTACTGTACCCAGCAAAACTTTCAGTCACTACAGATGGAAAAAACAAGATATTTCATGTAAAAACCAGACTTAAACAATACATATCCAGCACTACAGAAAGTTCTGGAAGGAAAACTCCAACCCAATGAAGATAACTACACTTACAAAAACATAGGCAATAGATAATCCAGTTTTACCAAACATGAAAAGAAACAGGAGGGCGAAATCCACAAACAATGACACCACAAACAATAAATCTAAAACAAACAAGAACAATCAATCAATGGACATTAATATCCCTCAATGTCAATGATCTTAACCTGTAAAAAGATACAGGCTAACAGAATGGTTTTGAAGACAGAATCTTCCTTTTGCCATATACAAAAAACACACCTTAACTTCAAAGACAGGCGTTACCTCAGAGTAAAGGGTTGGGAAAAGATTTTCCAATCAAATGGGCCCAAGAAACAAGCTGGTGTAGCAATCCTTACATCAAACAAATTAGACTTCAAACTAAAATCAATCAAAAGAGATGAAGAAGGGCATTTCATACTCATCACAGAAAAAGTCCATCAAGATGAAGTCTTAATCCTGAACATCTATGCTCCAAATATGAAACAGCCACATTTGTAAAAGAAACATTACTAAAGCTCAAACCACACATAAAACCACACACACTTATAGAAGGAGACTTCAACACCCCGCTTTCACCACTAGATAGGACCACCAGACAGAAACTTAACAAAGAAACAAGGATCTAACAGAAATTATGACCCAACTGGGTTTCATAGGTATCTATAGAACATTCCATCCAAACACAAAAGAATATACCTTCTTTTCAGCGCCACATGGCACCTTCTCTAAAATTGACCACATAGTTGGCAACAAAGCAAACCTCCACAGATACAAAAGAATTGAAATAACCCCCTGTATCTTACTTATGAGATCACCATACTTTAAAGCTAGAATTCAACAGCAATACAAATTGCAGAAAA